ATCTTGAAATCCTCATAGCATTAGATATATACATATATAGATATATATGTATATATATATGTGTATATCCTGGAATATGTATATATACATATATATTTATATGGATGTGTATATGTATATATATATATAGATGTATAGATATACGTGTGTATGAGGGGTAGATGGGGACTTGTAGAATTTCTCGGATCTGAATATCATTCCCTACCTAGAGTAGACAACCCTCTTTTTTAGGTAAATGAGTTGTTGTATTACGTTGTTGATATGAATATATATTTCTTGACATTATTTTAATATCATCTGGATTATTATCTGGAATATTAACTTGTATTTCATACCGACAAAGTGGATACTTCCGATAATGACTACATCAATACGAATATTTAATAGACGTTTTTGAATTAGAGGTACGAAATTTCGATAGTTGATGTTGAGAAATTCCACTTTGGGGCTATCTAAAAAGCGTATCTAAAAGAGTGAAGACGAGCTGGCAAAAATTAAACAAATATACCAGTTTGTAGAAAATTGTTTGCTCTATAAGATGTGATAGCTTGTCTAGTTCGAAACTATTCTAATTAATGTGTGTTAATCAAAGAAAATGCAGAAAAACCACGACGCTGGGGCAAAAAACGGTCAAAAGTCTTAAAACGTCACGGTTTTTCTTTGTTTAATACAGACTAATTAGAATAGTTTCGAACTACTTCTTCTAGTATTAATTCTAGTGCAATAACTTTTTGAAAAAGCGCAAAGAATGGAGGCCGTTAGCTGGACAAGCCGATTAGGGTGTAGCCATTAATTCTCTAAATGTCATCGCTTTTTTTCATACGATATTGTTGCTTCAGCCGCTGTGCCTAGGCTGTAAACTTGTCCCATCTATCGCGACAAAATTAAGAACATGTTAGAACCTCATTTGTTTCATGATATTTTCCTAAAAGGTCGATAGTAAGAATTTTTAGGCTACAGTCCTTAGCTCCTTCTATATGAATCGCTGAGTCTCTTTAGTCGTAAAAAAAGGGGCTGCGTTTGTTGAAAAAGCCTTTCGGTGATAAACAAAATAACATGGAAGACAAGCCACGTGGAAGATTTTACATCAAACACATAAAAATATGTTGTAATTACCATGTTTTCTGTCATGCTTGAGGATGAATGTTACGACTCGACATTTTGTTGAAAGGTAATTTTTATTCTTAATTCTTTTTTTTCCCTCTTATATTATATAGAACTGCGCTCTCGCTTTTTCTCTTTTCCTCAACCATAAAACCGTACTTGACTACCACAAATCCATTCATAGACTAAACGTAAGCACGTGTCTCTGTTTTCAGATGGCTGCTGGTAATCCCTCTCAGCACGTTGTTGAAGTAGCCAAAGTTGAATTTCTGATCATTTGGCTCGATCGTCACATAGGCACGGAGGGTGAATACCAAGTATTGAAGCAAAAATTCCGACAAAAAACAAACAGTATTATTCATTTCTTCGACAACATAATCAAATGTCACGCGTTCATATGTGACTGTAAATTTAAGAAAATATTTCTCATTACCCAAGGCCAAATGTCCGATCAGATTCTGACTCAGTTGCCCACGTGTGCTGAACTCATCTCAGCCTACATTTTCTGTATGGATGCGGCCAGATACGCCGATATGTTTGCTGATAATGTCTACGTTTTGGAAGGTGGTATATATGATCATGAGGATGATTTATTACATCGATTAGCAAACGATATCAAGATATATTTGATGAAAAATATAGATATTCATAAACAGAAAGCAGAAGATTGCAAAGCTCATGCAGACGAAATAGTTCGCGAACTTGGACAGATGAGACGAGAACAGTATACATACTATTATAATCGTCACACAAATGAAGAAGAACCAGTTGGTGCACCACCCTCAGATTAGTCAATATCTCAGCACTGCTTTTTTAAAGAAATTTGTTAACAACTATAGAACACAAAATTAATAATACTATAATAGTCATGATAAATCAAAACTACCTAACTGGTATAAATGCACTGATGCGACTTTATTAAAATAAATTCAGTGTAAAGTATAATGATTATTAATATATTTAGCGTTTAACTGCTTCAGCATCGTTACCGTTAATAAATCTAATTATTTATTTCGCGATTTTCTCAACTTATTTAAAATTCCAAGTAAAGTTAAGTACATATTCGGAATATGTACGACATTCTGAATTGAGTTCTGGGTCATATAAGCCATGTCTATCGAGGCAAGGTGCCGGTAGTTCAGAGTTACAGCAGCAAATTGTTTTTCGCCCTCAATGGCATGGTTATGAATGCATCGAAAAACATATTTTTTTAACAGGTTTTCCAGAAACCTTTTTGAAAAACCTCATGGCTTTGAAAATTTTTCTTCTCCTATAAACAGGATATGGAATAGCTTAAATACTCTACATTTTAAAGTTTTGAACTCGTTCTGACGTTTTTTGATTGAATAGTGAATCTTTTAATATTAGATGAAAATAGCCTGAGAATCCTAATTTTCGTAAAACTGGCTTTTCGTCACATTTTTAAAAATCTTTCTAAAAATAAATATTGCGACGAAACCCAGCAAGGATGATTATCCATAGTACATTCATCTCTAAGGCTACCAATAGCCACGAGGTGCCAGTCCTGGGACTCGTAGAAAATTCGATACAAGGCCCAACCGCGTGAAATCGAGGTCTCACTTTACTCCCGTTTTATAAAGAACACCTTCGACTATCCATATATGGAAAAAACTGATAGATTTCTAACGAGTGTGCCATAATAAACTGGACTAAATGTTACTGCATTTTTTTCGTACTTCCTCTTTAAAACAAAAAGTTCCTTTGCATACTAAAAGATAGAGAATTTCAAGCTCTACAAAACCTACTATTCGAATCTCTGAGAGCATTTTTCTCGTTTGAGCACCATTCAAAATATTGAAGAGTGCTAAGTTGTCGAACTGCGACACACTGAAAAT